TGTGTGTGTGTGTGTGTATATATATATATATATATATATACAACAGTTTTATCTGGTTCTTGAATCTGATTGTTTAAAAGATAAAATACTTGAATCTAAAGTTTAAAAGATGCTTGCTCAGCTGTTTTATCTGTCAGATTATGATTTGAATCCAACGCGGAAGAAAGTAGTTCCTCATACAAAAGGGTTTTTGAGACTCTCCATGTTTAATTTAGTTTTTATATACACAATTATGCCGTCAAACTGTTGTATAAATGCAATATCACACGAGTAGCAGTGCGATATAAGGCTCATGCATACCGAGACGTTTTTGCTTGCGATTTTCGTCGACCTGAAACGCCTCATGACTAAATAAAGGGCGTCAATGTGATCGTGCACACCAATGCGCAAAACGTCAGTCGCGAAAGCGTAATTTTTAAAGAAACGTCTCATGCTCGTTTTTTTTATTTGACGCGCTACATTAAAACCTTCTCCTCCAATCAGATTGGCGCTTTTGTCACATGCACGGAGCTACTGAAGTTACAGTAAACAGCACTTAGAGGCGCTCAAGCGCAAAACTGTCAACGCGAGTTCACATTGAAGAAGACGCCCAGAGGCGATATGAACGTTTAGCTGCTTATTGCACAATAATCATGTCTTCATCGCTAGAGCTGCTACTTGAACCATCTACAACAACAAGAGTTAACTTTGTCTCCTTCTTCTGTGTTAAAAGCGGGTGTCAGAAGCTTAAAGTTGTGTAGCGCCATCTAACGTCAAGGAGTGATTTTGCATACTCTTCTGCTTGACGCCAGTGAAAATCGCTTGGGTTTGAATCCGGAAAACCGTCTTGAAAAACGCTGACGATAAACGCAAACGAAGAGCGTCCCGGTGTGTACGAGCCTTTACATTCGCATGCCTGTTTGATTTATACAACTGAGGACGTAGGCTAGTCCTAGTTTAACAGTGAGGTTGTTTTTCACAGTACGAACTAGCTTATTTAATCACAGAAAACGGGAAATGCCATTGCTACGATCATTTTAATATGAGATTTAATTCTGAAATTAAATAATTATAGAAGACTATTTAAGTTAATTTTATCTATTATTATCTATTTTATCTATTTAAGTTAGTTTATCCCTGGTATAAACTATAATAACTTTGCTCATGTGTGCATTATTTACTAACTACTCAGTAGCTCAATTATTCCTTACTTAATCCTCAGCAATCCTAATCATCATCATCTGACAGTGAAGATGATGAGAAGAAGAAGAAGAAGAAAGCAAAGGTCAGATTTATGTATAGCTGTATTTTATTCTTATAGATGTGGTAAGAAAGCATAAATACTGTAATATTTTTCCTCAGATGTTTTGTAAATAATCAAAGCTTTTCTTTTGTTGTTGTTTTCGTTTTGTTTAGAATTCATCATCGAGTAGCTCTTCATCATCTTCTGACAGTGAAGATGAAGATAAGAAGAAGAAGAAGAAGAAGAAGAAGAAAGTAAAGGTTAGATTTATTCACGTTTACTGTAAATGTAAAATTGTGAAATAATAATAATAATAATAATCAGTGTAGTTTCTGGCTTGTTTGTTTTGTCTCTTTTTGAATATTTTCCACGGCAGTATAGTTTTTTTTTCTAGAAAATGATTTCTACAAGTTTGCTTGTGTATTATTGTGTGTGTTTTTATTTGGGGTTTACCAGAAATGTTTTTACAGTTACAGAAATTAATTAATTAATTTATTTAATTCATTGTTAAGGATTCAAGCAGCTCATCATCATCATCATCATCATCTGACAGTGAGGATGACAAGAAAAAAAAGAAGAAGAAGAAGAAGAAGAAGAAGAAGAAAGTAAAGGTGAGATTTACAGTATTCATGTTTATTGTGGGGCGACACTGTGGCTCATTGGTTAGCACTGTGGCCTTACAGCAAGAAGGTTGCTGGTTCGAGTCTCGACAGGGTCAGTTGGCAATTCTGTGTGGAGTTTGCACAGAGTTGTCTCTCTGTTGGCGTGGGTTTCCTCCGGGTGCTTCGGTTTCCCCCACAGTCCAAACACATGCGCTATAGGGGAATTGATGAACTGAATTGGGCGTAGTGTATGAGTGTGTATGGGTGTGTCCAAGTTCTGGGTTGCTGCTGGAAAGGTATCTACTGTGTAAAACTTGTTTGAACAGTTTCGCTGTGGTGACCCCTGATAAAAAAAAAAGTGACTCAGCTGAAGAAAAATGAATGAATGAGTGTTTGTTGCGAATGTG